ACACAAGAATTTATAATTGGTGAAAAAATTGAACCCGGTTTGCATAGTAGAAAAATGAGATACAAGGCTTGGAATATTTTCTCTATATATTATGTAACAAAATTTATTTGTTGGTTTGATTTTCTTAAAATGTCGCACACCCCAACAGGCGATGAAGTCGCTAATCAAAATTACTAGTTTATTATTATTAAAAAAATTGGCGCCATTCTCAAATTTACTAATACTAATGACATTAATAATTAATTTAATATTAAAGACAAATATTTACGAACTACAGCAAATCAAGTGACCTTGTCGAATATATTTCGACAGTCGAAATGCCTAAATGTTTGTCGAAACTATACCTTTCGATTAACAACTCTAGACATAAGCCCTCATTTATTCAAAGCAAAAACTAAATGTAAAGTCAATTTTTTTTTGGCTACCCATTATTTTAACAGTTAAAGTTTTGATTGAAATTGAAGATTTCACAATAATGTTTTAGTAATGAATTGCCTCGTCAATGTAAAGATTCAAGTAAGTTTTCATTCGTAAATTCATATATATATATATTTATATTATTTAACAACACAAATTATGCCTTTTTTTAATCAGATCTTGCATCAGTATCAGTGCATCTTGGTTTTATCGATACAAATTTTGGAAATCACTAAATACTATCTGGCAATTCTCTAGATCAATTTACCAGAATATGGTGCCATAATTAATGTTCTATCATTTGCTAATTATATTGACGATTATAATGGTAAATTTTTGGATGCTCAAAAGAATAATCTTGTTTTTGATCAAGAATTATGTAAACAATTTTCGAAAGATTAGAGTTTGCATATTTTATTTATAATTTATTGGATTTCTTATCATTTAAATTTATTATCTTTGCCAAAATAACAATAACTTATTTAAAAGTTTTCTCCTGTCTGAAAAAAAGTTTTCAATGACAACAAAAATGTATAATAAATATCGTTTATACCGGACTTAAAGTTTTAAAAAGTCCTGAAAAAGATATTTTCTAACATATTATTATTTAAATTAAAAAGGCTTATTAATTTTATTATTATTATAAATTTACAAGTTTGTTGATTATTTATTATTTATTATTATTATTTGCATATCAGCTGATTTGGACCTTTGTTTCAAACCTTATATTTGTGACTTGGAATTAAACACAAGTATTTTAATGTGTAAACTGGTCAGTAGAATGATAATTAACCCTCATTGGTTTTGAGATGAAGTCGAATATTTTTAGCAGAGCTTGATATGTTCATCCGTCAAATACTTTTGAATCTATTTGACTTTTTTGCACTTTGTAAAAACAGTCAGGTATGCATGACTTGCATGCTAAATAAAAAGTTCTCCTTATAAAAACTGCAATATCTATCATTGCGTCGCAATTTTGAGTATAAAAATGGTTTTTGTAATTCTTAAAAAATTTTACTAATAGAAAATGCAATGTTCGGTGAACATTACCAAATTTGGAAATACTTGTCATCGATAAGCCAATCACAGTGTGGGTCAAACCCTATACGTATCAAACCGTGATTTTTTGTATGTAACCTATCTATATAGTTGTGGGGTCCTGTTCCAATTGAGTGAAAGTAACAAATTAGAAATCGTTTTCTTTCATCCTTTCTTTACTTTGCTTTTAAACTTGGGCATTTTGAGCTTTTTCTCGTTTAAATGATCCTTTTGCGTTTGGCTTACACATTTTATTGGATTATCTGGATTATCCGTTGAATCCGTTGAATCTGACGGATTGAATTTTTAGAGGTAAATGGAAGATGAACGGATGGATGTGTATCCACAAATCGTATCATTAAACCCTATAATAAAATAATAAATGTATTAATTACAATACCAAATCGTGGGGATTCAACTTGGTTTTCATTTCTAGCTCTCAATGTTGAAGATATCTTTCAGATCATCATCATTTACCACATTACTAAATTTGTTTATCAAATTACGAGGCTGCTGAAGTTTTTAAACATATTATTATGATGGAATAAAAAAAATCCAAGTTCATTTAAAAACAACACAATTGGTCATACCCATTTAAAGAGAACATAATTTATCTTCTTCTAAGTAATTCCAGATTCACTTGCCTCTGATGATTCATAGCCATTGCAGATGTAGTAGCAATAGTATCACTCATTTGTCCAAGTAAATACAAAATACAATAATTGTTTCTAGTTGTTCAACATTTAAGGCAATAATTGAAAAATGACATTTTCTAATATGCTTGCTTACTGTTTATTGAGCTCACTATCCTGACTTAATCCTGTTCTACTATCCTTTTCTTCCTTCTTCTTTTTTCTCGTTTAAATTAAAAATACAAGAATGTATATATACTTAATGTTAACCATTCGTTATCCAGCCTGTCGTATATAATTGTTATAAAAACAACTAAATTATTAATGAGTAATTAATAAATTATTAAACCTCATATCGTCTTTACTTATTAAAGTAGGAACCTTAATATCTTGCTTTGATCGATCCAAGTGATTAACGACTCATCGGATCCAAACTACTTGTTTACATTATTGAAATTTGAAATATTATCGATCAGGTTCGAGGAGTTATGAATATTCCTAAAAATAAAAATAATAGATTTACCAAAAAAACATTTAATTTGTGGATTTCTTTTATAAAACATTCCAATCCTTCTTTTTCATTTTCATTTTTCTTTGTCAGGTCTACCCATGAAAATGAAACTGACGTTGTTGCAATAGTAAAGAATATTTTTATTGAACCATCTCTATGAAATTATACACACATGTTTCCAAATTCATTTGATATAATTGGTTCAATCCTATTGTCCAGTGTGAATGCGGTTTTTCTCTTATCAAGACAGATTTACGCAATAAATTAACAATGATATGTTACACGTGTCAATGTTAGATGAAAGATTTTGATTATGATTGAGCTATACAAATATGTCTCAATCAAAAGATAGTGAATTTTTATAAATTTCTTTTGGATATGTAAGCCGGGAAAATCGAAATTAATTCGAAATTCAAATTCAAAATGAATGTATATATGAGCCTTGATATTTATTGGATAATTTTTTTCTTAAACTAAAAATTGGTTGGGCCTTAAAGTTCCAAGTAAATTCTGTGTATCAAGATTTTTTTTTTCACACATATATTAAAAATATGCTAAAAATTAGTTGCTGATCTGTCTATTTACTATGAACCAATCAAGTGATAAAATTTCATAACAAAAAAAAGATCCAAAGTAAAGCCCTTTATTTTTTTATAATAAAATAGATTAATGGCGCGTGGTCTAAATACTAAAATAGAATTCACGTGATCGTGTAATCAAATAACCTTCAATGAGTGGTTGATTTATTTACTCATCTACTTTTCCTTGTCATATGAAGTTCAAAATTGTTATTACTTTGGATACATTTTACTAGATGGTTTTTATTCAAAGGCCATTGATACGTGTAACATAACTCAGTGCACTTGCTCACAAAGGTAAACATTATTATGTAAGTATGAACTTAATATTTCGTTAAATTTTGATTGGTCAATTTAATTTTCTGATTTCGGAATTCACTGCCAACTTTTACTGAATTTAACTTTATCCGAGTAGCAACCAAAAAATTCCCATTTTAAAGGCTGGAAAAAATAGTTACAGAAAGCACTTGAATCTGTATCATTAGAGAACAAATACGTAAGTATGCAAGCCATTCTTGGATGCTTACCATAAAGGATTTTAACCGGTGGGTGTCCATGCTTTATATTCTGTAAAGACAAATCAAGTACTTTTCTGATAGTGAAAATGAAGCAATTTAACTGTTATTAGATTTAGGTTTGATGATGGATAATAAGTTTTTATTTTTATTTCATTAAAAGTTGGTTGCCGAATTGGTTTTTTAAAATTCAATGTGCATTCAAAAACATTCACTTCTAGAAAGTGTTCTATATTTGTTTTACCTAACTTTTAAATACTCGAGAAAAAGATTTCTTTTTTTAAACTACCAAGGCAAACATTTCAAGTACAACAACCACAGAATTAAATAGTTTTTCAAACGATGGTTTAATGAATATCTGATGTATCATTATAATAAAAAGAGCGAAAGCTGAAATGACATTTGGAGTGAGATTTTCTTTTGTCCTGGATCTTTATTACTCTAGCAATATAATAATAATACATGATTTATTTTACGATGTTATTGGCTCATGACGCTGCGCAGAATTTTTTTTAAATGGTGTACTCATAATATGTGTGATTGTTGTGTCCCGATCCTTTGTGTACCTTTTTTCTATAATAAACTATCCCGATTCGTCATGCTTAATAAGTATAGAGACAATTTACAAAATATTTTAATTATTACTCGGGGATAATATAACATTATCTGTTTTTGTATAGCAGTTTAATACATTTTCCGATATACAATTAATTATTAATAATTAATTTAAAGTTTCATTTCTCATCAACCTATTTGTATTCTTTGCTTCTTCAAATTGGTTTTTTTTTTTTTTTTTTTTTATTAAAAAAATACCCTCAATTGAGAAAAAGTACGTATGATGACATTGTCGCGCAGATTTGTATCATGTGGCTTTTTTTTCTTCTAAAATTTCCAAAATTTGATAATTTTATGATCAATCAATAGAATATCATTAAGAAACAATAGTCTGCATTATTTATTATTTATTTTATTTGTGACACAAATTCCCAGAAGCGAGTTAAATCAAGAATATTAGCTTAATTTATGTCAAAAAAGGTTGGCGATGTTCCTTAATCCCTTGTGTAATCTCCAACAATAACAAATATATTCCTCTAAATAATTCTCCATAATTTAAAACCTTTTTTTTTAAATTTCTTTTTTAAAATAAATTTTTGTTTAAAAATTTTTTCTTTCATTGTTTTTCTAATTTTCTAAAAAAAAATAATTAATACTTTCTTTTTTTATATATAAATATATAAAATTCTTAATATTAATAGAACTAAAAAGAAAAAATAAAACCTCTAAATTTTTAATTAAACTATATTTATACATGACGACGGATGTTATTGGATATGTTACTGATGTCCTTCAAAATCTTCATGATGGAAATACAGAGTATTGCTTGAATTTACAATATCAAGGCCAACAAAATGAAAATACAGTAAAGTTGGACTGTGTATTAAGAAAACTATTAGAGCGTCACCTACAACTTGAAAAACAAGTCGCTCAATATCAAGCATTTCTCAGCGAGTCTGATTCAATTGTGATCATAAACGGCGGAAATCCCTCTTTACCTATCACTCCAAATGAATGTTTAGAAGTGCAAAATCTTATTAATGGCGACAATTATCCCAACACTGTTCAGTTGGTCGCTCCTTCAGATGATTTCAACAAATCTTCTTCTATACATGCTTATGTCAATGATTCTACAAATAAACCTACCAGTGATTATATAAGTCAGGAAAGTCCTCCTTCAACACCACCTGCTTTGGTTCACGATGACCGTGTTTGTTTAGAATGTCTTAACCAATGTACCACTGTTGCCACAGCCGTCACTTCTGGAGATTTCAAAAAAAGAGTTACTTGTCCTTATTCATCAGGTCCAATGCTTACTTTAAAAAATGCAATCAACACCATGGTTGAAAAACTTGACAATGTGGCTTTTGAGTTGATTCGAGTTGCTCGTGAAGTTGGTGAAGAAGGAAAATTAGGAATTCAAGCTAAAAATCAATATTTAGATGGTGACTGGAAAGAAATGATGATACATCTAAATATGATGGCTAGTAATCATTCTGAACAAGTAAGAGATATTGCTGAAGTATGTACGGCTGTAGCACATGGTGATTTAAGCAAAAAAATTACCGTTGAAGTTAAAGGTGAAACCCTTGTACTAAAAAATACTATAAATACTATGGGTAAGAATCTCAATAATAATTTATTATTATTATTACTGTTATTGAATCATATTATTTACTATTATTATTCATTTTTAATGTGAATTTTATTTTTTTTATTTTTTTTAGTTGATCAATTAAATTCTTTTGCATCAGAAGTTACCCGTGTTGCTCATGAAGTAGGTACAGAAGGGAAACTAGGGGTAAGGGCTCAAGTACAAGGTGTTGGTGGGACTTGGAAATTGCTTACTGATAATGTAAATACAATGGCTGCAAATTTAACAGCTCAAGTTCGTGATATTGCTGATGTGTCGAAAGCTGTTGCTAGAGGAGATCTTAGTAAAAAAATAACTGTTAATGTAAGAGGTGAAATTTTGGATTTAAAAAATACCATAAATACTATGGTTGATCAGGTAAATCTCTTTTTTATATACACATTTTCATTTATATATTTATACATACATTCACACTTTTTTGTCTGTTTAACACAGTTACAAACATTCGCAACTGAAGTAACAAGGGTATCACTTGAAGTAGGGACTGAAGGGAAATTGGGTGGTCAAGCAAACATTAAAAATGTTGGTGGAATATGGAAAGATCTTACCGACAATGTGAATCTAATGGCAGCGAATCTCACAACTCAAGTACGTTCTATTGCTGAAGTTACGACTGCTGTAGCTCGTGGTGATTTGTCCAGAAAAGTAAAAGTTCCTGTGCAAGGTGAAATATTAGAACTCAAAAATACTATAAATTCTATGGTTGATCAACTTCGTATGTTTGCTGCTGAGGTAACTAGAGTAGCCAGAGAAGTAGGTACTGAAGGTATTCTGGGTGGTCAAGCCGATGTTAAAGATGTTGGAGGTACTTGGAAAGAATTAACGAACAATGTTAACACCATGGCCGAAAATCTCACTTCTCAAGTGCGTGACATTGCTAATGTTTCAAAAGCCGTTGCTCGTGGTGATTTAAGTAAAAAAATTACTGTTGATGTCAGGGGTGAAGTCCTTGATTTAAAGAAAACAATAAATACTATGGTCGATCAATTGCAAATATTTGCCACCGAAGTAACAAGAGTCTCTTTGGAAGTAGGAACGGAGGGTAAATTAGGTGGTCAAGCTGTTGTTAAAGACGTTGATGGTACTTGGAAAGAATTGACCGATAATGTAAATATAATGGCAGCAAATCTTACAACTCAAGTACGTTCTATTGCGGAAGTTACAACTGCTGTAGCCCGCGGTGATCTGAGCAAGAAAATTACCGTTGATGTCAAGGGTGAAATACTAGATCTTAAAAACACTGTAAATTCTATGGTTAATCAACTCAATACATTTGCTGCTGAAGTATCCAGAGTAGCTAGAGAAGTGGGCACTGAAGGAAGACTTGGTGGTCAAGCTGTAGTTAAAGATGTGGGTGGTACTTGGAAAGAATTAACAGACAACGTCAATACTATGGCGGAAAATCTCACTTCTCAAGTGCGTGATATTGCAAATGTTTCAAAAGCTGTTGCTCGTGGTGATTTAAGTAAAAAAATCACTGTTGATGTTAGGGGGGAGGTCCTTGAATTAAAGAATACAATTAATACTATGGTTGATCAAGTAAGTTTGATCAATTATTCTTTTATTTTATATATAATATTTATATTATATTTTTATTTATATTTTTATTTATATTTTAAATAACCATTTATTAGTTATCTACATTTGCTGCTGAAGTAACAAGAGTAGCTAGAGAAGTGGGAACTGAAGGAAAATTAGGTGTTCAAGCCCAAGTTAAGGATGTAAGGGGAACTTGGAAAGAAATCACATCTAATGTCAATACCATGGCAGCAAATTTAACTTCTCAAGTACGTGCATTTGCACAAATTTCTGCTGCTGCAACTGACGGAGATTTTACTCAATTTATTACTGTTGATGCATCTGGTGAAATGGATTCTCTTAAAACTAAAATAAATCAAATGGTGTATAATTTAAGAGAAAGTATTCAAAAAAATACTGCTGCAAGAGAAGCAGCTGAATTAGCTAATAGAAGTAAGAGTGAGTTTTTGGCAAATATGTCACATGAGATTCGCACCCCTATGAATGGTATTATAGGGATGACAACCTTGACACTTGAAACAGAGTTAACACGTCAACAACGTGAAAATTTAACAATAGTTAGTTCTTTAGCTAATTCTTTATTGACAATTATTGATGATATTTTGGATATTTCAAAGAGTAAGATTATTGTTATATTGTTATTGTTATTATCTTAAAGAAAGGAGTAATTTTACTAATATATTATTTATATACATATAGTTGAGGCTGGACGTATGACAATTGAACAAATTTCATTTTCACTTCGCTCTGCTGTATTTGGTGTTTTAAAAACTCTTGCCATTAAAGCAACTCAAAAGAAACTAGATCTTATATATGATGTGAATAATGGTATACCTGATCAATTGATTGGTGATCCCTTACGTTTGAGACAAGTCATAACAAATCTTATAGGGAATGCAATGAAATTTACAAATGAAGGACAAGTGATGCTTTCTGTAGATACATCAGAAACAGAAGGTGATCAAGTACTTTTGACGTTCTGTGTAAAAGATACTGGTATAGGAATTCAAGCAGACAAAATTGGACTGATTTTTGACACATTTTGTCAAGCTGATGGATCTACAACAAGAAAATATGGGGGAACTGGATTAGGACTTTCAATATCCAAACGTTTAGTTAACTTGATGGGTGGTAATTTATGGGTCAAGAGTGAGTTTGGTAAAGGTTCTGAATTCTTTTTCACAGTC